CAAATATTTATCGGGAAATTTAATTTTTAAGCAACTGTTAATACCACTTGTGTATATCGTGTATATGTATATGTATTATGTCATGTATGCGAACTAGAGCAAACCTCATTACAAATAACGGTCTTTATGGCGAATCTCGGTTTTACGGTTTGGCTTGTGTGCTTAGATTTAATGCGCCCACATAAACGCACACGCACACATATACATATATATATACACATACATATGAGCGTATATAGAATGTCCATGACGCTTTTAATTAAAAGTTGTTTTCTATAAATCCAGAAATGATTTCAATTTTATTATCTAACGACATATATTCACACGCATACATACAAACACTTGCACAAAAGTACGTACACACCAATAGTCTATAATGTACGTGCGTGTGCTTCATTTGTAAAATCGATTAACTTCATTTTCTGAATTCTTATCGAATAATAATCTGAAGGCGCTTGATTGACTCCTTACCCGTAAATATAATAATAAGAAAAAGGAACAATTCCTCTAAAAAGCAATAGTAAGAAAAGAATTGTTCAAAATTGTCAAAATTTTGTACCCATTGAATAATAAATAGCTTGGATCGAAAGACAATTCTTACTCTAGTCAGAAATCGTAGTGAAAATGTGATTGCAAAGGTTTTAGAGAAAGCACAAAGCCGGGCACACATCCACTAGGTTTGGGCCTTCTTCCCCATCGTTCTTTATCTCCTTCCTCCCTCCTTATTGTAGTACACTAATATCAGATGTCGCCTGAGTGGTTGATATTAAAATAAAAAAAAAATTTTTTTTTAAAGTTAACTTCATACGAAAATCGCCGTCTTTGTCGTTTTTAGACGGATGGCGTGAAAACGCCTGTGCCCAAACAAACAATTTCAACACTTTTCTCTACTTTTGGTTTTAATCAAGTTAATCGATTTGGCAATTGAGGCATTCATATTTATAAGAGGATAAAGGATAGAAATGTCAAACCAAAATAACTCATGACATCGGTTTGTGTGTTGCTCGATACACAGTACATTTGATATTACTCCGTTAGAAAGCATTCCTGTCATGAACAGGAATACATGAAATGTAAAGGATTGTGATTGCATTATCATTCTATCATTGAACACAATTATTTAGTGCCAAAACATATATATGTACATATTCTCTCTCGATATATATATACGGCATTTGAGGACTAAACATGAGGACTAAACATAATATGTTAAGTCATTTCACTTTCATGAATATTTGTGCGCGCGTACGTGTGATTATGTGTGTGTATGCAGACAGTATGATGTGTCATAATCATATAATTTAAGCATTTCAATTCGTTTAATACACTCACACGCACACACATAACGATTGCGTTGTGTTTGCAATTGTTGCGTTTCCTTTACTCATATAAAGTTCATCTATTTAAGCGTTTATGTTATGTATTTCAACTGCGGTTGACCAGCAATATTAACACATTTCGTTGGCGACAGCTAAATCACCTTCAATGATTTCCATTTCAATTTTTATCTCCGTCACCAAGGTGGTACGGTATGTTTATTCTGTCAAAACATTTGAAACATCCTGAGAGAGAATTCAGGTAATTTTTAATCTATATGTACATATATTAGTGATGAAAATCACATTTTGAATCTATCTGGGCATATTCGTCCGTCCTTCTCCTTAATGTACCCTGTAACACAATTAGTCCGAACTAAGGCCAATTGCAAATAAACAAACTTTCCAATGGTGTGATGATTATGTTCATTGTAAATAAACTATAAAAAAAGAGGGGGAAGTTTTGACCATTTCAACAGTGAATACCGAAAGAAAATTGTTTTTCTTACTTCATAGCTCCAAGGTCACATATCCTAGCACCTTAAGCTGTGTTTATGCCGGTCATCAAAACTATATCACTAAGTTGCTAGCCAAAGTGCAGCGAACTTTTAAATGAAAGATATTTAAAGCAAAAAGTGAAATCATTATAGTCGAGCTAGGCTAGCTATGAAATACCCTACACCCCATTGACGAACATAAAACTTATTTTTGACATAGAACGAAAGAATTATACCCTGAGATTCTTCTTAAAAATCTTTGTAAATAAAGGCTTACTTTTCGTAAGAATGACTCCAAAACTGAACTACGTGTTCAACACAGTTAATTTTTCTATCACATTAATATTATGAATCAACAACAAGCAAGCCCTTACATAGGGTAGGATCCAAAAATATG